CCCAAATAAAAATAAATTTGTTTATAATTGCAGCCGCACGCGAATCAAGCCATGTATTTGTTTTAGAATATCTCACATGAAAATTAGGGGTACGGGGTGAGGGACGGGCAAATTGACATTAAATAATATTAAAAATTGCTCATAATATTAAGAACATTAATATTTAATAAAAAAAAAGAAATTGAACAAGTTATTCTGGTGCGCCAAAATATTGGTTTTTCGGCCCTCTAAAGGTTAAAGATGGTAAGAGCATGTTGTGTTTCTTCTTGTAAATCTAAAAGTAATGTACCATCCCATTTATTCATAAAAAATTGTGAACGTCGCAAGTTGTAATTAGAAAATTTACATATACTGCAAGTAGAAGAACGTGAAATGCGTTAGACGTTGCCGAATTACAGTGTCCTCAGTTTTGTCATGAAACACAAGTAAAAGAAAAATTAAAAACTATTTTCAATAGTGAAATTCCGACATCTATAATACATTGTTCTATTGTACATAATATTATAATACCTTGACGAAAATAAGAAGCTTTACAGAGCGTTGATAACCGTTTAATGAGAATTTTTTGAGAGTTTATACGCTTTCAAACTTTATAAGAATGCTTATATAATGTCAAAAAGTTTGAACTCTTTTGGAACGCTTATCAAACGCTATATATAATGTTTTCTAAATATTCTGCAATACTAAGGTAACGCTTTTCACAAGACGCTCAATAAATACTGATAAATTTTCATACAAAAAGTTTGCTGACAGACTTTTCAAACGGTTAGCAAATGCTTTTATAAATAAGTAATAAAAAATATTAAAAACTACACATTAAAAATCAATTCATTTATTATAACAGTTATTGTATCATTATCAGTTTATTATAAGAATAAAAAGACTATTGATATTTATTACATATATTTAATATATTAAATTATTTAATTATATTGAGATTAATTTTATGTAATAGTTTTATATCATAGCTTTATGTAATTTAAAATATTATATTTTTAATATATTACATTATTTAATATAATTACTAATTAGTATATATTTTTAAATTTAAAAATATCAGTCAGTAATTGCGTAGCAAGTGACACTTTTGCATACAAAAAATTTT